TTTATACTTAAACTTGAGAAAGTGTCTTCCCTTGGCACAATGACAAAAGCAGTTTATTTACTATTTCATTATAAAATTCATCTTTGAGTTCAAAAAGGAAAGCACTAACACAGTGCTTCAACACAACCTTGAAACCACTCATTACACCTCAAAAGTTCTGAGTGTGTGTTACACAAAGAATTTCTTAGAAAATAAGTCCCTCTGTGGCGAAGACCCAGAGTGGAGAGAAGAGGTGTCATGGCAGGTGGGTGGGCTCAACTCCCACGCTGGGCACTGTGCTGGTGCCTCATGTGACTGCATCTCACTTACCCAGATTCTAATTATTGAAGTTTGACGTTACATCACACCACTTTTACAAAACTAGACTTGAAAAATCTTGAGCTGCCTTTGAAGAGCTGTTCCTTGAAAGATTCTGTTGGTGGTTAGAGTATCCCCTTCTGACTTTACTTCTTTTCAGCCCAGCCTTGTTGCTGTAGGTCCTCCCTCCTCTGCTAAGCTGGACTGGATGTTTCGAGGAAGCCCCCTCTCACAAGCCCCTGTGATTGTGTGTGGGAAAATCCAAATGAATCTGCAAGAAAAGAGTAGAATTAATAATAGTATTTAATAATGTTGCTTGACAAAAAGTTAATGCAAAGTCCGTTGTGTTTCTATGTACCAGCAAACAGTTGGAAAATAAAATTTTAAATATAATTCTGGTTACGATAGCATAAAAATATGATGTTAGAATAAACCCAACAAAAAGATCTCCTAACTATTACAGGGCTCTGTATTCCATTTCGGTGATCAATTTGTCTCTCTCCATCAGAAATACATTGTCCTAATTAATACTATAGCTTTGAATGAGTCCTCATATCTCATAGGTCAGTCAGGTCCTCCAACTTTGTTATTTTCCCTCAATAATTTTTAGATATTCCTTACCTTTTTAATTTACATTTACATCTTAGAACCAGCCTGCCAAGATCCATATAAAAACTGGTCGGATTTTTATCGGACCTAAATTGAACCTAAAGAGCAAAATGGAAAAGGTGAACCCTACTTGCCATGTTTGAGTCTTCCTGTCCGTGGTGACGGTATATTCCTCCATTTACTTAGCTGTTCTTTAAAACTCTAAATAAAAGTTTCCTTTTCTTCCTGGAGGTCTTACGCATATTTTTCTTGGATTTTTTCTTATATACCTCATATTTTTAAGATATCATAAATGGAATCATTTTTTAAACTTTATTTTCTAATTGTTTGCAAGGACATAAAAATGGACTTTTATTTTAATGTTCACCTATAGATTCCTTTGGATTTTTTACACACATAATCATATCATTTATGAATAATGACAGTTTCCTTTGTTCTTAACATATAGGCCTTCTATTTCTTTCTCTTACCACTTGCATGTTGTGACAAGAACTGGCCATGGCAGGCATCCCTTCTGCTGTTTCTGACGTCAAGCACAGGGCACTCAACACCCACCATCAAGGGCGACATTTGCCCGGGTTCCTTATGGACGCCTTTAATCAGGTGAATGAACATCCCCTCTTCTTCCAGTGTATTGAAGTTTTTATTGTGAATGGGTGTTGAATATTACCTTATTCCATCTTCTAAATCTACTGAGATAATCATAAGATCCTGTTCTTCTCTTCTGGTAAAATGATGAATTATATGAATTGGTATTTTAATGCTAAACCAGACTTGCATTCCTGGAATAAACCCAACCTGGTCCTGAGATATTATCTCTTTAGTAGATTGGTAAATTTTTTATGCTCATGATTTCTTTGGGATTTTCTCATCTATCTTCATAAATGAGATTAGCCTGTAATTTTTGTTTCTCAAAGTGTTCTTGTTAGTTTCAGATATCAGTGTCTCGTTAGACGCATGACAGGATTAAAGGAGTGGTTCTTCTGACCTGTCAGACTCCAACACGTCCAAAACAGAGCTGAGCTACTTGGTCTTCTGCACCAAACGTGCTGCAAGCCAGCAGGGTAACTCTATCCTTCCTGTTTCTCAAACCAAAACTCCTGGTGCTGTCCTTGTCTCTTATTCCCATATAATCCATCAGAAAATCCTGTTTTTTCTACATTCAAAATATGCCCATGCCCTGACCGCTGTGTGCCACCCCAGTGTTCTGCGCTGGCCCAAGTCAGTCAGCTTACCCCCGGTAAGCTGCAATGGGCCCCTGGCCTCCTAGCCCGGAGGACAGCAGACTTTTTCTGCCAAGGGCTTGACAGCAAATGTTTGACTTTACAGCGCACCTGGCCCCTGCTGCAAACCTACACTTCTGCTGTTGGAGTGCAGACGCAGCCACAGATACTATGTAATAAATGGGCTTGACCCAGTTTTGCCATTTACCAACCCTGCCCACTAGGGTAGGCTCTTCTCAACACTGATGACAGTAATCTTTTTAAAATGTAAGATCATGTCCCTCAACCTTGGGCAACCCTCCAGTGGCTTCTCATCTCACTCAGAGTTAAAGACACAACCCTTACAGTGTCTCACAGGGAAGGCCATGATCTAGTCTTGTCTAGCCTTGCCCTGTCTCCTTTCTGGTCCTTGAACTCATCCCCTCATCCCTCCACCTCTCTCTCTCTCTCTCCTTCTCTCTCTCATTCAGTTTCAGCCACACAAGCTCTGCTCTCTTCCTAGAATTTGCTAGGCTTGCCTCCACCTCAGGGGCCTTCTCACTGAGCGTTTTTCCTGCTGGAATCGCTTTCCCTCCAGCTCTCCACCTGGATAACTCAAGTCTTTGATCAGGGTTACTTCTTAACGAGGCCTTCTCTGGATGTCCTATTTAAATGTAAGCCTTTCACAGCCTCCCCTGATACCTTCCTTTCTCTTTACTCAGCTCTTTGTTTCATGGCACTTTTCCTTCTGACATACTGTACAACTAGTTTTTTTTTTAATATGTTGATTGTTTATGTCTGTGTTTTCCCAACTAGAAGCAGCTCAGTGAGCTCAGGGTTTCATTCTATTTTGTTTGCTGTTATATCGCCACTGACGAGGACATTCTCTGTCCTGCAATAGGCACTCAGTAAACATTTATGAGGTAATGGATGGGCACGTGCATGGCAGCATGGAGGGGTCAAAGAAATGCCATAGGCTAGAATTGGAATCCAAGTGACAGAACTCTCCTTACTCAACGCTTCAGTGGAGTTAAGTGCCTCACATGTCATGGGCAATATTTCACTCGGAACCTTCAAGCAAAACCTTGGAGTTAATGTTAAAGATGTACAACTTATTCTTGGAGCAGGTGGGAGAATGGATGCTGTGTCCCATAACGAGCCCCAGGCACAAGCCAGCTCAAGGTTCTGTGATATTTGTCCAGTTGTTCATTAATAGTAGTAATAACAGGGTTTGTTCAGTTTGTGACAAAAACTAGGGTTTTGTTGAAATGACTAGTTTTCAATAGCATATATGAGTACCTTATTAAGCTACTATTATTTTCCAGTCTTAAGATTTTCTTCTTGGAGCCCTGGCTGGTGTAGCTCAGTGGATTGAACACGGGCCTGGGAACCAAACAACCGCAGTTTGATTCCCAGTCAGGGCACTTGCCTGGGTCGCAGGCCAATTCCCAGCAGAGGATGCACGAGAGGCAACCATACATTGATATTTCTCTACCTCTCTCCTTCCCTTCCCCTCTAAAGATAAATAAATAAAATCTTTTTTAAAAAAGATTTTCTTCTTAGTGAAAATTGTAAACATTAGTAGGAATTATTGGCAAAAGAGCCAGAATATTTGTGCATCTTGAAATATTTGTATCTTGGTTAGAAAAAAAGTCACTCTCAGAAGCAAAGGGAGTAATGAAGTCCTGGTGCAAATTGGTGGGTGAAATGTAGCTAATGTGACCTTTTTTTTTCCCTTTACTGTCAGCCTTTTTGTTTTTTACTAATAGTGCTTATGGGTTTTTTATTTTGCCTGTATTTTTGTTTTTTGAAAAAATATTATAATTGCCTTTTTCTTTTTGTTTTCTTAAGCCAAATGCTCCCAGTTAAGGATAGGTCAATGTGCACACCTAGACACATGACTCTGTGAGCAGCCATGCTGAAGCATAATGAGTGCTCTTCTATTTCCAGATGCAGGGCTTAGGGGTTCAACACAGAAATCAGGGAATGTGTGTCAAAAGATTTATTGAACTGCATTCATTAGATTCCCACCTGGTGTGGCCAGGCTGCACAGCGCACTTGGGAGAAGGGGGCAGTGGGGGAGAGATGCGGACAAGAAGCACTTGCTTTTACACTTTTGGAGTCTTTCACACTCTAGAATATGTTGGCCTGCCATCTATAGTGCAAATGGAGTTCTCTAAAGTTACATTGTGTTGCTTTCTAAAATAATAAATGTTTTCCCATTAACTGGAATTCTTACAGAGAAAAAAGTACTGTATTCTACCAGTATAAGGATTTTGCTTTCCTTCTTAGGCTGTTTTCATTTGTTTCTTCTGCATCCTTCTAATGGAATTTATAGGTCTCTTGAAAGGTAAGGCTAACATGTGCAAGTCTGCCCTGCACTCAATAACAAAATTATTTGAAATGCAGGACTTTGCTTCTTCTTCTTGATCAGAAAAAAATCCATATTTCACACTTAACCAAAATCATCTCCATTTCATATCCAAGGAATCAGAGATATTACACAGATTAATATATACTAACTTCTTTACTTGCCATAATCTTTTACACCCTTTTGAATTCAAGATAGTAACAATTGTCATTGTTTTTCAAGTCTTCCTTTTTTAATGCTTGTGATTATTTCTGAATTGTTTCCAAATCAGAAGCCCATATCTGACACTGATGTTGATTGGCATGCACAGTAAGAAGCCATCCACCTGCTGAAGACTTCACAGTTAAACCATTCCTGCTCCTGATTTTCATTCCAGCCACACCCCAGTCACCAGGTTAACCCAGCGATTAGATGTGGTGGCTCCGGACTGCATATGCTTTAACATAACGTGTGTGCATGATCTTTAAGAATGAAACATTTTACCTAAATGCCACTCTTGACAAAAATTTCTTTTTTTCCAGTGATGCAGAAGACCATAAGCCTTTGAAAAAAGGTAGTCGAACACCTTCAGACAGGACTGTGAAAAAAGAAGACAGTGATGACAGCCTAGTGGACTATGGAGAGGGCGTGAACGGCCAGTTCAATGAGGACGGCTCCTTCATTGGACAGTACAGCGGTAAGAAAGAGAAAGAGCCAGCCGAAGGAAACGAAAGCTCAGAGGCACCTTCTCCTGTCAACGCCATGAATTCCTTTGTTTAATCTGCAAGCGTCTTGCCAATATCCCGTTCCTCCAGAAAGGTCCTCTCCAGCACTGTCTGTCAGCCTTCTCATGCTGTGCACACAGAGGCAGGAGGTATAAGTTCTGCTGTTATGTGAATATTATGAGAACAGTTAAAGTAAGAACATGATTCAATCAGATGATTTATTAATGTGAAATGCAGTGCAAAGTGCACACTTTTTCATTCAAAATAGGTATTCTTGACCTTCAAAACTGATAAAAATAGTACATCATCAACAGATCGTGTTATTTCCTCTTCAGGATACAGTTAAGTGTGATGCATGAAAAATGCTGCACAGTTAAAGAACATACCTGTGTATGTGGCTAAAACATGGTTTGATACTTTGTTTATAGTATCCTCAGCTGAAACCCTAAATATGAATTCCGTTTTCATTGTCAAGAGTGTTACTATAGTGTTCTTTAGAACTTCAATGTCTTTGTGGACATTGTTGTAAAATTGGTGACTCTGTGTCTAGCTGTTAGTCTTTTGGGGAGACTGTTAGGAACAGTATGTACAGTATATACTTGCTAAATGAGTTAATCACGACAGTTGCATTTGCTGACGCTTACTGAGACTCTGTTACCTGCTCTTCGCTCCTGTTACTTCGTAGGCTCCTTAATCTTCCAGGTATTACAGTGGTGCAGTGTTCTACTCTTTACATCATCTCGCATTCAGTTGTTTTTAGGCATAAATAATGTGTATTACAATGCATTTTGGCATTTGCGCCATGCTTAAAGAATGAAAAACAAAGCACTCTAATTAAATTTCAAAACTTATTCCAGAAAGCACAGGGCAAGACACATGCAGTGCCTTCAGACAAGAAGCATTCCATAACACACTGCCTTCTGTATCAAAGATACAGTTGACACAGAGTTCTAGGTGACTGTCACTAAGAGTAACGTTTAAAAAGCAGAGATAATGAAAGTGGCAGTGCTGGGAAACAAGGAAATGTGGAAAAGAAATTAATAAGGTAGCTTATTTTAAAAAGTATTGTCCCCATATGTATAAAAAGAGAAACTTTATCACCAACTGGAGTGCATAATGATTTTTTTAGCCTTTTATGGTTTCCACTAAAACATGTCCCATTCAGTAAGAAGGATGTCAATTTGGTAGAAACTTTGTTTTAAAAACAAGTTATTCCAAAACTAAAAGCATACAACAGCACGCCAACAGGAGTACATTCTCTCCAAGTTTCTACCTGTGTGGCCGCTTTTGAAACTCTCTGCAGCATTGAAAGATCTGGATGCAAATCACCATGGACCTTTTCAGAATCTAAAAAGTCTAGTAAGTGCTAACAAGGCCAAGAGTCAAACAGGTTATATCTGCAGTTTCAAAATACGTACACTCTACCATGTTCATAAACAATATCTATTAAGTGGTTTACCTCCAAATATGAAATTCTATAACAACCTATGGTTGAAGGAATGCTCAGTTTCATTTGCCAATAAATTGGTTTCTCATAACTTGCATCAAGTTTAATTTTAAGTAAAGCTTTTTATATGTAGATATTTTGTTGAATTTGTAAATACACTTAAAATGTAGATGCTATATGCTTATAGGTGTCACACACAAATAAACATACAAATAATGTTTATGTTGTACTGTATAAAAAGTTAGCTAATTAATAGAGTGCACGGGACTGGAAAGCATTTAAATACCTTTGGGCTTTATTTTCCCTCTTTGCTGTGAAACTTAAAAAGTAAACTATTCTACACACTGACAGCAAGTTTCTAGATGAACTCTTCCGAGCTTTTCCTGTGGGGCTCAGTAAGCCGAGTCACATGGCATCTTTGATACATGCAGGTGAAACAGAATTTGAAGTAACCGAGGGGAAGATAGCCCTAAATACTTTCACATCTCCGCCTTTGCTCTTTACAGGTCAGCCTTTATTACAGAAATACAAAAAGACAGAACAGGCTTGCCTTGGCATCAGGGAGAACAAAGACAAAAGTTACTTCAAATTTGCCAGTGTTTGGGGGAACCAATCAAAGTGCAGTTTTTACTCATCCATAGCAGTAGATGCTGAATTTACCTGTGCATGAAGGGGTCACCTCTGTAACAGTGCAACATATTTTGTATTAAAATTGAATGTGGTTTTAAAAGTCCCTCTCTCTTTTGTAATATATCATATTCCTCATGGAGTGCAAATGTCCAGCAGTATATATAACAGTACAAGCAGATAGGACTGGATTTCATCAAAACGGAACTATTAAACAGCCTTGATCCCTTTGTGATTTTTAACTCTTTCAAACATGTTTCCTAATGTTTGAAAATAAGGCACATTTTTATTTGTGCTTTTACAATCATATATGTGCAGAGAAGATTAAACACAAAACTAAACACCTAAACAGAGCTAATAAAGTAGGGCATATCAAAACATTTGCATGAAAAGCAGGACTAGATATTACCAGCCTTTTGAGAAACAGTCTGAGAAATCAGGTGCTGCTTCCTTTGCTGAATCCTGGCCCCGCCCCGGCCTGGCTGCCTGCGGTGCCAGCCTGTCTGCTGCCCACCTGGACCTCCGCCCTCCCTGCCACAGACAACTGGGACTCCTTACCCTCTCCCTCTTGATGGGAGAGCTGGGGCATTTACAAGCACTGCGGAAATGCCACCCATTTGCTTCGCCCCAGCCTCATTCTTTTCACTGTTTCAAACCTGTCTGGCTCTGTAACTGCCAGCGTCCAGTTTGTCCACCGCCTGCCCTTACTCACCTGTCCCCTGGTCCCAGCTTTCCACCCATGAGACCTGCTGGCACAGAGCCCCTCTCTACATGGTTATTTGGATAACAACATGTTACAGTGGTCCCCCCTTATCCAAGCAGGATGAGATTCCAAGACCCCACCCACATAGATGCCTAAAACCTGAGATAGTACCAAGCCCAATATATACTGTTTTTTTGCATACATACATACCCATGATAAACTTTAATTTATAAATTAGGCAAAGTATGAGATAAGAATAATGATAGAACAATTATAGTGATATACTGTAATGAAAGTTATGCAAGGCTTTGGGACAGTTACTAAGTAAAATAAGAGTTATTTGAAAACAAACATCGTGATACCAAACCACGGACCCGATAACTAGGACGGCTACTAAGTGACTAACGGAGGGGAGAGCAAACAGCACAAAGACACTGGTTGAAGGGATGTCCATGCTGGACAGAGCAGGATGGCTCCGGATGGCTTGTGGTTTAAACCTTATGAATTGTTTATTTCTGAAATTCTTCGTTTAACATTCTTTGATCACCATTGACTGTGGGTAACTGAAACTGCGAAAAACAAAATTGTGGCTATGAGGACTACAGTATGTAAGTCAACCATAAAATGCTCTGTAGACCTTAGCATTTCCAGCACAGAGAGCGTTCACTTCTGAACAGAAAACCGGGACCTCCCCTTCACTCTGCGGCCGGTTCACGGCCCACTCTCTCAGGGCACGTCGTCAGTCACAGCACTGGTCCACTGATGCCTTCTTGTTCACATGGTTTATAATAACCCTGACTTACTTTTATTTTATTTGTTTTTTTATTTTTTAAAGATTTTATTTATTTATTTTTAGAGAGAGGGGAAGGAAAGGAGAAAGAGAGGGAGAGAAATATCAAAGTGAGATGAGCCTGGCCCGCAACCCAAGCACGTGCCCTGACGGAATCAAACCAGAGGCTTTTCCATCTGCAGGACGATGCCCAACCCACTGGGCCACACCAGGCAGGGCTGGTTCACTTTTAATGGCTGATTTTGGAAATGGCTTGGGGAGGCAAGAGACATACAGATAACAATTCGCACCCTGCCTCAGCAAATCTCTCCCCATCAAGAGCTCTTCCTACAGATGACCACCAGAGGACTCCCGTGCTTTATTCAGAGCAAAGGAAAGGTTGTGAAACTCTGAATAGCTCTTGATCCACAGTCTGTGCAAACAATGGCTGCCTGCTGCCACCAGGGGAAATGGGATCTTCCGCTTCCAGGGAGTAAGTGAGTGCAGCTGTGAGCCTTGTGGGTCTTCCTCTTACCAGCTGTGTCCAGGCAGCTGGTGCCTGGGCAGCAGGGAGGGAGCGGAGTGAGCCTCCTGGCTCCCACCAGGCACCCTCCTTGCTGCAGGCTGGGGAGAGTGAAGGTAGGGGCGTGTCCTTAGTGTGGTTCACCCCCCACCCCGGTCCCCAGAGCAGGCCATTCTGACTGCCACCAGTGCTCTGACGTTTGTGACTGGACAGCACAAAAGCACGGTTTGCACACAGACAGCTTTTATTTTTTCACTTGTAAAAAAGCAAGAAGGGGAGAGAATACTATGAGAGTATTTATATTGAGAAAACAAACAGTTCCCAGGTGGAGGTAGAAAGTGACCAGAATTTACATCCCAGTCCACTGCAAAACCATGTGTGAAGGAAGCCTGCCTCTGTCTGCTGCCTCTTTAAGCCTCCGTTTCTTCAACTTTAAAATAATGACAGAAAACAGGTGATTTCTAATATCCCTTTCCGATTACGTCCCATGGTTTTAAATAACCTTCCCTTCCCCCCAAAAAATGTATTTTGAGAGCCTACGAGAGGTAAGTGGGAGTGTACAAGATGAGCTAAACCAGATGTGGTTCCTGCTCTGGAGGGGATGAGAGTGTGGTGTGAGCAGATGTTAATCAAATAACCACCTGAATGAATGTGCGATTCCAAACCGAGATAAGCACCAGGAATCTGTGAGAGCAAACAGTGGAGGAGGCTGGCCCCTGCCGCGGTTAGGAAGGCTTCCCTGAGGAAGTGGAGAGGAGGGAGAGCTGGGGGACAGAGAGGAGACAGGACAGAGGCCAGTGTGCTGGGAGCACACGCTGGGGCCGCCCGTGCGGAGGCATGAGGACCACGCACAGGGTTTTGTGTTTATTCAAGGAGTCGTGGAAAGTGGGGAGTCATTAAAGCAGTTGAAGGAAAGGATTATGTGATCACATGTGTGTTTGGGGAAGAGACAGGAACCATGGGATTCAGTGTGGAGAACGGGCTGGCGGGGAGCCAGGGAGGTGGATGAGAAGGGCTGGAGAAGCTTGGGGAAGCCATTTGGTCAAGAGACGGCACAGGCTGGATCCAGATCCGATGGTGGAGAAGCAGAGAAGTGGTGGATTCTAAAGATATTCAGGGATCCAACTGATGGAAGTAAGAGGTAGGATATGGGAGGTTGAGGGAAAGGGAATCTCTTAGATTTCTGACTTGCGTAACCAGACATGAGGTACGCGTAGGGGGGAACATTAGGAAAGAACCAGATGTGAGGTAAGTTATGAGTTCAGGTTCATGAATGAGAAGTTTGAAAAGCCTCTGAGACAGCCAAGTAGAAAGGACTAGTAGGAATTGGATATATGGGCTTAATGCTCAAAAGGAACTTCCAAGGTGATGAGTAGTCATTGAAGACTGAAGCACCAGTGCAATTGCCTGGGGAAAAATATAGACAGAGGGCTGAGGATTACAGCTATCAGGAAAGTCCCACGTGTAGATGGACCTCTAAAGGGAACTGATAAACTGGAGCCAAGGAAGTTGGGAAGAAATAAGGAGAGTGTGTTGTCTTGGAAGCCAGTGAAAGAAACCACTTCAGAAATAGAGAATGGTTTACAGTGTTATAGAATGTGGAAAATCGAGCAAAATGAGCACTGTAAAGTACTTCTCAGGTTTGAAGGCAGGGAGGTCGTCTGAGACCCCAGGAAAGCTGCTGGGTGGTGTGTGGTCACAGCCTGGAGTGAGCTGAGGAGTGAGGAGAAGGGGAGGAAACGGAGACGGTGACACTGCCGTCACCCCGGTGGACAACCCACCTGTCCCTGGCTGTTCCTCGACACCTCTGCCTCCACAGTGGAACTTCAGCGTCCTGCTCTCTGCTCACAACCTCCCCTCCAAACTACTGGCCCCTCTGCTTTCTCTCACTCCTCTAGCTGCTTCTGTTTTTGCATCCCCTTTCCAGCATGAATGTTATAGTTCATTTTTTAACTTTATTTTTAATTACAGTTTACAGCCATATAGTTCATTATTTTTGAAACACTCCTTCTTTACCCCAAAGTCATTTGCCCATCTGTCTTTTCTAAACACCTGTGGAGCTAAACACCTGATATTACTCAGGATCAAGTCCTCTGCCTGCTTTCTGCTGCCTGCCCCTAGGAGCTGGAGGACAGACCAGAGGTCAGCATCATTATAAAGTCATAAACATCTTCAGATGATTCAACTCACCACACTGCACAGCAGACCGGCTTATTTTTCTCAGGCGAACTTACATCCTCACACTTAGCAGTGACCACGTTGAATCTTTTCTACTCTCCCCAGACATTCAACCCTGCTTCACCTCCCCACCCAGCCTCACAAATCATTCTCTACAAAATGACCTGACATCACGATTAGCTAAAACAAGAGAAGGAAAAGCAGAGATGGGAATTCCCTCACCAACCAGCAAACCAAAGTGCCGGGCTCCATGTGCTCTCATCCTCTACCTCCTGTGAAAGTGCAGGAGCCGCCTTCCCCCCGCCCTGGACCAGTCCTCCCTCCTGGCTCGGGAAACCCTGCCTGGCAGTGGCGTCCCCACCATCAGTCACCCCTTCCTCTGCTCAAGGAAGCCTCTCCTGTCTCAGACAAAGAGACCCTTGCAACCTTTGATTTCCCACCAACACACCCACTTCAGTTACCAT